ACGCAACATCCAATGACATGGCCAAAACCACCTGCGACAAACAACCTTGTATACAACCGGACTTGACTCCCATACCGTCATCTTACGACACTCTTTTTCGTTGTGCCTTTTACAAGCCCTGCTTACGCGCGCTTTACCAGGAAAAAGCATGCCCTTTGCCAGCACCGTTGCTCTAGACTCATCCCACATTGATATCCAAATTTCATCAAAATCCCTTGTGAGAGCTTCCACATCCGGCATGCTTGGCAAGTTATCAAGGTAAGGAATCTCCCTTGAATGAAACGGCACTTCAGACTCGTACACTCTTCGTCTAGGGGGGTGGAGCATACTCTCTCGTCAAATCAGGTCCTTCCTTCTCATCCTCCTCATCACCATCCTCACGAGGAAAGCGTGTCTCGTCTCCAGATTCATCAGCATTGTTGTCGTAATCACTGTTATCTTCCTCACTCTGTGCATCTGCCAGATCCCGATTTAATACGTCGTCTTCGGGAAATTGAGTGAGTACATGTGGTTCAACTTGCTCGTTTTCGCTGCACAATCAACAAAATAATAAGCTACTGAAATTAATACATATTTTCCATATAGCTGTATCACTTCACTTACAAGTCGTAATGTGATGAAATTCCATGATGGACATTTTCATTTAGGTGATGACTCCCGGATGGACCACAATGATCCAACACACCAAAACTATGGTTGGATTCATAATTTGTAAAATTCATATCCGGCCGTACCCCCTATTAAATATATGAGCTTTAATACAAATTCAAGACAACAAAAATGTACATCGTAACACAAAGGAAAATTGAAGTTTACCACTCGTCTTGTGAATTATGTAAAGCAGGCGGTGATAAGTTTAAATCAAGGAAAACTCTTTCATCCGGAACCTGTCCGGCAAAAACTGCTCCAGAATAACCACCCGATGACTGGGGGTTATCCCTACTACGCGCAACCTCATTGTTGGGAACGTCTTCGACCTTGACGTACATATCCAACTTTTTGATTACAAGAAATTCCCAGTATTCATCCGGAGTCCTCAGAAAATCCCTCAAAGTTTCATCATCGTCGATGTTTAACTCCGAGTAAAAAGCAACCACTTGCATAACAACGATATCAATTTATCGTACTCCATTGTAAGTGGTAATTTAACATGACCCTGTGGAGATAAACTGTACCTCACAGAGTTATTCTCCATCAGAAACTCACCCCCCCCCCCCCCCTAATACAATGAAACTCTTATTCTACGCTCTTCAAACATTATGAAAAAATGCTTGAGAATTTAACAAGAAGAAAAATTTGAACGGGAGTTAGAATTTTTTTGAATGGATTTTCCTAAAATCCTAACCCCTTTATATAGGAAATGGCTAGCCCGGAGGGCTAAAATTTTTGATGTATAGAGCTCTTTTAATATGCGCTATACACATTTGAATTATTGTCATGTCAGTTAACTTATTGGTGGGCCCATAAACAGGTATAGCGCATGAATTTACTGCACTATATATTTATAGCGTGCGCTATACCTAGCAGTCAAGTCGTCAGAGTATAGCGCACAGATTTCCGGCGCTAAACAAGTATAGCGCAGTAAATTCATGCGCTATACCTTAACGGCCAAAGTTACCGTTAAGATATAGCACGGAGAATTTCGGCGTTATATATAGAAAAGTAACTTTTTTTTTACACCCATTAACGTAACATTTGTCCAAAAAGATAATAAAAAAGTTCCTGACTCCAGGAATCTATCTATATTCTTGACATGTGGCCCGCCTTCACTCGAATTATTATATTTATACAGTTATAAATTTGTTTTATAAATAGATACAGGAGCAGTATTATAATATTAAGTTCGCTGTAGTGTTGATAGTTTGGAATAATTAATCCAGTTTAAAATTTCGCATGAGTTTGATTGGTTGCATAAGAAAAAAATAATCGCTACATAACTAATGCAGTATTTTCTTAGAAATATTAAATAACACATTTATTTAATTATATTAGAATCTATGTGTTATTCTATGTAGGATCTAATGTGCAATAACAATAAATGTATTACCAATGGAGGAATTAAACTATATAAAAATAAAAATATATTTTTAAAGTGAGTAATGTATGGGACAAAATCTGCCTAAGGATATTTCACACAAAGTGGTATTACTGAAGATAAGTCAACCGAGGTCGACCGGTAACCAACGGAACTCACCGCTGAGCAGTCGATCATGGCCGAGGTCAAGTGTCAGAAGGACCAGTTGCGGCTAGTTTAGTTACAGGATTTTTGAGGGAATATTCCATTGAACATTTTTGATGTTTGTACTAGGGTTAATTGGGGGTATGTCCTTTATAAATAGAAAGAGAGATCAGGTGATAAGAATGTAATATTATCTGATAAGAACACTCCATGAAAAGTAGACTTTCTCTCTAGATAGAATACAAACATTACCTTTCTAAAGAGATTCGATCTTCTATTAGTCTTTACCTTCCACCAGATCTGAGAAGGGTCCCAATATTCTGATCTTTATCTATCATTCATCACTGTCAGAATGAGGAATCATCCACCTCATTTAACATTGGTTCAAACATTCTCCTTATTTACTCTTGTGCCATTTATTGTCATTTATTGCCTTATATTTCCTCTGCATTACTGGTCTCAAAACATTAAATGCACATTTCACTTGATCTTCTATTAGCATTGCTCTACGTTATTCTCATTATTTGGTGATAGATATGAAGTTATTATTATTAACTAAGTTTAACCCCTCATTATACACATTTAATTGGTTTAATCAAAGATCCATATTTTTTTGTCAAACAATTTGGCGCCGTCTGTGGGGATTTCCTAGTTAAAATTTTAGTTTCTTCTAGATTTACAACTAGCCAAAAAAATGAACCCCCCCCCCCATTCTCTTGTACACACAGATCTAACATGGCAGGTAACGGAGAAGAAAGGATGAAGGCAGTGGCCGATCTCACCGCCAACCTCTTAAACACCATCAACGGAGTTTCTGAAACGGAAGGGGAAGATGTAACGCCAAATGCCTCTCCCAGGCGAAGTGGCTCACCCCTCCCTCATGGTAGCATCACAACGTCCCGCGGCAGAGGGGCTTCCACGTCCACAACGGAAGAGGCGCCACCCGCAGTGAAGAAACTACTTGAGGCTTGGCTAACAAACACGCTGACCGACATCCTCGACAAGCCCACCCAAAAAGCAATCAGAGAAAATGCAACTTGCGTTGCACCAACGACGGCCGAGCAGTACGGCCCTCCCCATCCAATAACAGGTACCACTCACAATATTAATAATGCAGGTGAAGATACCCTCACGGCCATTCTGAGGAAGATGAAAGAAATGGAAAACGAAAACAAAATGCTGCGAGACCAAATGAAAGAGCATCAAGAAAGGGTAGAAAAAATACAAGGCGCCCCAAAACTCTTACCAAAGAGGGATGCTGGTCAGTTCGTGGAACAGCTCTACAGTGATGAGGCCTCCCCACATGCCATACCCAAAACCTTCAAAATGCCTCCCTACCTAAAAATATATGACGGTACGACCGACCCAGAAGATCATGTGACTCACTATGTCACCGCAATAAAGGGCAACGATCTCGCCAAAGAACAAGTATCTTCTATCCTGTTGAAAAAGTTTGGCGAAACCCTCACCGGAGGCGCATTAACTTGGCATTCACAGCGTCCCCCGCGCTCCATTGAAACATTCGAAGAAATGGCCGACAAGTTCGTAACGGCCCACACCGGAGCGAAAAAGGCGGAAGCAAGAATGAACGACATATTCGCCATCAAACAGGCACCTCAAGAGGGACTGAGGGACTTCTTCACTCGGTTTAACCGAGTAAGGATGACATTACCAAATGTATCAGAAGGCATGGCTGTAGCAGCTTTCCAAAACGGGCTGAACAGAAACGGTTCGAGGGCGACCAGAAAGTTGCTGAGACGGCTTATGAAATATCCTACAACCACTTGGGACAAAATACACAATGCCTACTGTGTCGAAGTCCATGCCGACGAAGATGACTTGAATGGACCGACCTAGCGGTTGACCTCGGTACAAGCCGAATCCGAGAAAGACCAAAGAAACGATGCTAGAAGAGATCTAGCAGCTCCACGACCCAACCGAGAAAGGCATCAACCATATATCAGGGGTGTCATCATGCCTCCTTCCCGTCACAAAGAAGGTCTATCTAGGCCAAGGACAGGGACTCGCCGGGCGAGAGAGGTATGCCCCATTTACTATCTGCTCACAATTTTTGTGTTTCACCTTCAGAAATAGTCTACGCGTTGGAGAAGCTCGGCCCAAAAGTGAAGTAGCCACAAAAGATGAGGTCCGACCCTAGCACCAGGAAGTCAAATGCCCTCTGTGAATTCCACCAGGAGCGAAATCATAAAACCGAGGACCGCATCGCTCTAAGACAGGAGGTCGTGAACATGCTTCACCAAGGGCACTTAAAAGAGTTGTTGAGCGACTGAGGAAGAGCCAACTTTGCTTGAGGATGTGAACAACACTAGGGGCGTCCAAAACCACCTTCACCAACTCGCACCATCCAAATGATCATCGGAGGCGGCGACGACTCATCTATCAATAGCATAAATTTCACCATGACCCACAAACTCAAATGGTAAATCACTCATGAATAGTACGATGAACTCGAAGAAAGTATCATCTTCGATAAATCGGTTAACCACGGTTTGGTTTTCCCTCACTATGATGCACTTGTTATCACATTATGAATATTAGATACTGATGTAAAGCGCATTATGGTGGACGATGGGAGCGGCGCGTGCATTATCCATCCTCAAGTACTTGCACAGAAAAAACTCGAGAATAAGATAGTGCCACGCTGCATCATGCTAACCAGTTTTAACAATGCAGTTGAATGAGCATTCGGAGAAATCACACTCCCCATCCTGGGCGGCGGAGTCACCCTGAAAACCACATTCCACATCATGGACCAAGATACGGCATATAACGCCATAATAGTCGACCCTGGATACACGCCATGAAGACCATCCCCTCCAGCTTGTACCAAGTTATCAAATTTCCCACACCATGGGGAGTGTTTAGCATACGAGAGGAACAACGCATTTCCCGAGAATGCTATCGCATTGCCCAGGATTGTACGTACAATCGGCAAATGAAGGTCAAAGCAAAATAGGCATAGCAATTAACAGGGTCGAGGTCGAGCACTAATGAAAAGGAGGACATCATCAAAGACCTTGAAATAATAGAGTCCACGGTATCAATCATAGAAGACCTCGACCCCGTCCAACTTGATGATAACGACCACAGCACGAAAGCCTACATCGGCCACAAGTTTCAGGAACCAGGTAAATTCCGTCATTTCTTAACTAATAACGCAGACTTGTTTGCCTTTTCCCATGCAGACATGCCAGGTATCCCAAAGGAGATAGCGACACACAAGTTTAATGTCGATCTATTTTACCCCCTAGTAAGGCAAGTTAGGCGGAAGTTCAACTCCGCAATAAACGATGCAGTCTGCGAGGAGGTTGAAAAATTGCTGGAAAACGGCTCCATCAGTGAATCAAAATACCCCCAATGGGTTGCCAACGTATTCATGGTGAAAAAGAAGAACAAAAAATGGCGTATGTGCGTAGACTTCACAGATTTGAACAAAGCATGCCCAAAAGACTCATTCCCGCTATCCCATATCGACCAGCTCATTGACGCAATAATCGGACACGAGCTGCTAAGCTTCTTAGATGCATACTCGGGCTATAACCAGATCCTCATAGAGGAGGAAGACCAGGAGAAGACCACCTTCATCACCCACCAAGGAATGTATTGCTGCAGGGTGATGCTTTTTGGACTGAAAAATGCGGGGGCAACATATCAAAGGTTGGTGACAAGAATATTCAAAGACCAACTCGGCAAAACCATGGAGGTCTACATAGATGATATGTTGGTCAAATCCAGACGAAAAGAAGATCACATCGACCATCAGAAGGAGGCCTTCGGCATACTCAGGCGATACGGGATGAAATTAAACCCTGAGAAGTGTGCGTTCGGCGTAACCTCAGGAAAAATTTTGGGTTTCCTGGTATCACAAAGAGGCATCGAGGTCAACCCCAACCAAATCAAGGCCATAGAGGGAATACCAGAACACTTAACCAGTAAAAAAACAGGTTTATAAGCTGACCGGCCGCATCGCCGCCTTGTCGAGGTTCATCTCACGATTGTCTAACAAGTGTCATAAATTTTTTGGCGTACTCAAGAAGGACAACGGTCTCCTATGGACATCCGAGTGCGTTCAAGCACTGAAGGAGTTAAAGGCTTATCTATCGTCACCACCATTGCTCGCCAAAGCAGAACCTGGAGAATGTCTCCTCGTCTACCATGCCGTATCCGAAGTAGCAGTAAGCGCAATCCTGGTCCGAGAAGAGAAAGGTACACAATCTCCCATCTATTACATTAGATAAACCTTAATCGACGCCGAGACGCGGTACCCTCACCTCGAAAAACTAGCACTGGCCTTGGTCTTAGCTTCACGAAAGATTAGACCCTACTTTTAGTGCCACCCCATATTGGTAGTCACAACTTTCCCCTTGAGATGTATTTTACATAAACCTGAGCTATCGGGAAGGTTAGCTAAGTGGGCTATAGAATTGAGCGAGCATGATATCACGTATCACCCCCGGACGGTGATAAAATCACAAGTCCTCTACGACTTTGTCGCCGACTTTAGCGCAAAAATAATGCCTGAAGTAGAAAAAGAAATCGCCCATGCTTCTCCGCCTACACAAGATCAATGGATTTTGTACACCGACAGCGCTTCCAATGCGTCAGGATCCGGATTAGGACTCGTGCTCGAGGTCCCGACAGGAAAAGTAATTCGCCAGTCCATAAGGTGCCCAGACATGACTAACAATAAGGCCGAGTATGAGGCCGTGATTACTGAATTGAAGCTAGAACTCAAGTACAGGGCTAGGCGGGTCATCCTACGATGTGACTCGCAGCTCGTCGTCAACCAAGTCACAGGGACTTTCCAGAGCAAAGGCTGCAAAAATACCAAGCCGAAATTTGCAAATTACTGCCCGAGTTTGATGAATGCCAACTCGACCAAATCCTTCGGAGACAAAACATAGAAGCCGACGGCCTCGCCAAATTAGCGGCAGCCACCAAAAGTATAACCAACAAAGGAAACATGGCCACCCTCCTCCACTCGTCGATAGATCAAATTGAGGTAAAGACTATAAATTTAACTTCGGACTGGCGCAACCGTATCGTTACATACTTGCAGGATAGCGTACTCCCAGATGACAAAAAGGAAGCCAAGAAACTTCGGATGCAAGCAGCCAGGTACAACATCAATCACAGTGATCTATACAAAAGGACGTACGGCGGCCCCCTAGCAAAATGCTTGGGCCCGAATCAAACGCGGCGCGTCCTAGAGGAAGTCCATGAAGGCCACTGCGGGGCTCATTCCGGCAATCGAACTCTAGTCATATGCCTCATACGGGCAGTTACTACTAGCCTACTATGAAAAAAGAGGCCGCAGACTTCATGAAAAGATGCGAGCACTGTCAAAAGTATGCCGCAATGATCCACCAAGCAGGCGAGCATCTCCACTCAGTCACTACCCCGTGGCCTTTCATCAAGTGAGGGATGGGCATCGTCATCCCCTTTCCCGCAGGACGAGGTAACGTACGTTTTCTTTTAGTTCTGACTAACTATTTTCTAAATGGGTAGAAGCAAGAGCATTCGCTCAGATACGCAGGTAGGAAGTGATCTCCTTCATATGGAAAAACATTGTGTGCCACTTCGGCCTCCCCAAAGAGATCAGCTGCGACAACGGACCCCAATTTACTAGAAAAAAGGTCGTCGAATTTTTCGAGAAGTGGCATATCAAAAGAATACTCTCCACCCCATACCACCCCGCGGGCAACAGGCAAGCAGAGTCCTCCAACAAGTACTGAACATCATAAAGAAAAAGCTCGAGGACACCAAGGGACTGTGGCCAGAACTATTGTAAGAAGTGCTATGGGCATACCGAACAACTCCAAAGACAAGCACAGGAGAGACGACTTACTTGTTAGTCCATGGTACTGATGCACTAATACCAGTCGAAGTCAAAGAGCCCAATTTGAGATACTCCCATGAAAGCGGGTCGAGGAACAACGAAAGTAGAAGGCAAGACCTCGACGAAGCCGAAGAGCGGAGAGATATGACCTACATAAGGATGATCGCCCAAAAGCAACAGGCAGAACGCTACTGTAGCAAGAAGGTCAAGGTCAGACCACTCAAAGTCGGGGACTACGTGCTCAAAGCCAAAACACAAGCAAGAAAAGACCTACGGGAGGGCAAACTGGGAACGAATTGGGATGGCCCATACAAAATCACAGCAATAGCAAACAAAGGGTCATTTCAACTAGAGACAATGGAAGGAAAACTACTTCAAAATAACTGGAACGTCGCCCACCTCAAGTACTTAAACTTTTAAGAACAAGAGTCCTCCAAGTCATACTCTTTTTCCCTCGCTTGAGTTTTGTCCCAATTGGGTTTTCTCAAGGAAGTTTTTAACGAGGCAATAAGGGGGACACTCCAAGTCGAAGTACGGACAGACAAGGCACGGGACGGTGAGTTCATCGCCCAACCTCTCGACACATCTCCAGGTCGCCCAATGAAGGGATTAGATAGACCAGGACTGGAATGCCAGCCCAAAAAAACATGTAAATTTTTCCAAGTATGAGCAAAGCACAAATGTAGTTCCGCCCACATTTCCAGAGCAACATTGCCTCAGTATCTACTCGACCCACAGCCACAATTGAGTAAATGACATTCGACCTCATTCGAATTAACTTACATTCGACCTCGTTCGAATTAACTAAAATGACATTTGACCTCGCTCGAATTAACTTACATTCGACCTCTTTCGAATTTACTAAAGTGACATTCGACCTTGCTCGAATTAACTTACATTCGACCTCGTTCAAATTTAGTAAAGTGACATTCGACCTCTCTTGAATTAACTTACATTTGACCTCGTTCGAATTTACTAAAGTGACATTCGACCTCTCTCGAATTAACTTACATTCGACCTCGTTCGGATTAACTAAAATGACATTCGACCTCTCTCGAATTAACTTATATTCGGCCTCGTTCGAATTTACTAAAGTGACATTCGACCTCACTCGAATTAGCTTACATTAGACCTTGTTCGGATTAACTAAAGTGACATTCGACTTCGCTCGAGTGAACTTACATTCGACCTCGCTCGAATTAACTTACATTTGACCTCATTTGGATTAACCAAAGTGACATTCGACCTCACTCGAATTAACTAAAGTAATATTCGACCTCGCTTGAATTAACTTACATTCGACCTTATTTGAATTAACACCTACCACCTCGGCCATAGCCAAAACCAAAATTTTTATGATTAAGATGACTAAACGATAGAAGCATACAAGACCAAACAGAGAAGATTTAGAAATGAACAAGCGAAAATAGCATTTCATATATCAATAAAATTCTTTACAAGGGCTAAACAGACGCCCAACAAAATGTGCACAAAAATTACAAATCAAAGGAAAAACTACTCGCCACCCGACCCAGCAGTGTGATCTCTACCGTCGCCATGAGGATATTCGTCCTCGTACCAAGCATCCTGCTCAATCCCATCTAAATCCTCCTCGCCATCGCCGATCCCCGGTGTAGCAGGGTCATAGCCGCAGGTAATCCGAGCTGCACGTGCCTTAGCACGAGAATCCTCAAACTCAGCCTCAGGGACTCTCCCTGCCGTCATCAAATCTCTAAATATGTACAGGTGGGCCACGACATGGATCCACTTCTCGTATAAATCCCGAGGGACATCAGGAAAGGCAGAAGCATGAGAGGAGGACAGCTGAGCCAATAGCCGGGACTTCTCGGCCTCGAGAACGGCGACTTGATCTTCAAGATTAGAAACCTCTTTTTCTAGATCCCCTATTCGCTCATCAAGCTGAGCTTCCCCGAGCGTAGCCATCTCCAAATTAATTTCCCACTTGGATCAAAGAACGCGGATCGCATCCTCCAAAGCCTCAACTTTTGTCGAAGCCGCCAGCCTAGTGATAACAAGGGAATTTTGATACATTTTATACTCCTCCTTGTTTATATTTTGATTAATTTGTACAAAATAGTCCCAAAAGGCTCACAAGTTGTGGTTGATTGCAGGTTTGATCAACAAAGTGACAAGATGTCAAAGTTCAGCTCAAAAAAGAGTAAAACTTGCACAAGTGCCAAGACAAAACAAAGCTCAGGCAAAATAGGCCCAATGCGGCTGCACACCATTCTGTGCGGTCCGCACAAGTGAGATTCAGAGAAGGTGTTTTCCAGGCCAACACGCAATGCGGCCGCATGAGATTTAGTGCGGTCCGCATTGGAGTTACTGCGGCCGCACTCAATTTAGTGCGGTCCGCAGAGCCAAAGATCAGAGAGGTACCCGTTTTGAAGATTGAAGCCAATGCGGTCCGCGCTCCATTTCATGCAGACCGCACTAGAGGCCACCGCGGCCGCACACAATTCTGTGCAGTCCGCATTGCCTGAGTTCTGAGAGCTGGAATTTTGTGTTCAGAGCCCTAGTACGGCCGCACACCATTTTGTGCAGTCCGCACTAACCCCACAGGGGTATTTTTGTCCAAACTTTTCAGCTTAGTATAAATAGCTTCTTTTCCATTTTTAGGTCAGGCAGATAGATTTTGTACTGAGCTGCGCTCGTGACTTCCGTTTCTTTAGCTATTTTGGGCAATTTTATCTTCATTTCAACAGTGAATCTTCTAGTTATTCTTAGCAATTAATTAATATGAGTTGTTTTTCATCTATTTCTTTGTTTCTTTCTTTAATTATGAGTAGCTAGACCCATCAGCTAGGGTTGTGGCTCAACCCTAGTGTGGGTAATTGCCGGGTCTTGTATTTTAGAGCTTGATTGACTATGGGTGTTTGATATTTGGGCTAATTCCATGTTTAATTGCTAAATTAGTGGTTGCAAACACTAGTTTGTGTTTAGTTGACTTTTGCTCTTCTTGAGAAAGAGAGCCTACGTCTCTAGAATTAGTCCAACAAGGAATTGGGGCATACTCAAGAGAATTGATAGCCCCAATTAAAGAGTTAAACCGAGAGATCGTAATACCCGACTTGATCCTTAATTTCTTGTGCAAATTTGCATACCCAATTGGTCTTGAGAAAGTCAATTCGGGCAAAATCACTCGAACTATCGAGAGGTATAGAGTGAGTAGAATCGAGCAATGGTTATATCATACTCCCCAATTGTGTCAATCTAGCTTTAGACTCAAGATTCCGTTAATTGACCACCTAGGCGAAAGTCACTACCCTAGTGCCCTTTAATCATTTGAACAACCTGCAATAGTTTAATCCTAGCTTATAGTAGTTTAATTTATCATTGTAGTTTATAGAATTAGAATCAAAATTAAAACCCAAAAATGTGTAGAAGTGCAATTTGGAGCAAATACACAACTCCACTTTAGATAGACACCCAACTCCAATATCTAGCTCTCTGTGGAATTCGATCCCGACCCTAAATCGGGTAAAAGCTGCTTCGACCTCTCTCGCTACTTAATAGTAGTGCAGGGTTGGCCGTGATCAACTTTTTGGCACCGTTGCCGGGGAGCTAACGGTTTTGGCTATCTATCTAAATAGATTTGTGTTTTGTACTTCTTTCCTTCTTTGTTACTAATTTGTGTGTTTCAATACTTCAGGTACAAAAATGGCATTAAATGCTAATAACCCTCTTGGAAACGTGATATCGGGGGAGGAGGTTGATGACAATGGAGATGAAGAGGTGCCTCTTGCAACTCAAGGACAACCTAGAGGCCGCCAGGCCAATGCAAATAAGAACATTCCAGAACCTCCTCCGCCACCTCCAAGGGCGGTTCCTCGAGTTCTTCCCAACCAAGGCTATGCAAGTGCAATTGTCCCACCCCAGTCCGGGCGGGCAATTTCCAAATTACTAATGTGATGTTGACATTGCTGGAGCAGCGTTGGTACTTCACGGGCGCTTCCACTAAAAATGCTTACAAACATCTCAAGGGTTCGTGGATACTTTTTGTGGGAGCAAGCAAACCAATGTGTCCGAGGATGCACTTCGATT